ATGCTTTAACAAACTTGGCAGCACCTGGGTTGCTTTCTGGAACTAAACCCAATGCAGGTATTGCCAACAGCTAAAAAAGCTGCTTTGGTAATATTACTCTACAAATGGGAAAATAAGCTTAATATTAACTAGAGGATAGATAAACTATGAATTTATCTTATAATTCACTTGGGTTAAGTTCAGGTCAGTGTTAAGTTTCTGTTCATTTTCAGAACCAAATGGGTGCTGGAGGGATTTGTTACATTTGTCTTGAGAAATACCTGAAACTGGATTTTCCAAACCTCAGATACTGCTTTATGACCCTTTTCTGCAAGTCTGCTAAAATGTAACACATTTACGATAATTGGATACAATATCTAATGCCATTTCCTAACTTCTTTACCTTGCCATTAGCTATAGGTTTAACAGAGCCTCTGGAATACCGAGAGAGCCGGTGAAACCTGCTGGATTTATGGAGGACGGTGAAGATGTAAAGGCAGTGGTATATACCATGTTGGCATAACATTTTTAAATATTTATGTTCTAATATATGCATTTTGTTCGAATTATCGGAACTATTGTGCATCAATTTTTTGGTGCCAGATATTTGCCCAACCTATCTTCTTATAACATTAAGAGATGAAGACAGTAAAGTTATTGTATAATATTTTTGATGTAATCAATAGTGACTGTACACATGACCATGCTTTTTTAAAGTTACACACTTAAATGCTGGTGTTGCATCTTGTGTTTTTGTCTGTTGATTTTTAGATTTGCAGCAAAGCAAAGACCCCTGATTTCTGTTTTACACCCAAATAAATTTAATAATCCTTTAGGAAAGTGTTTGTGAAAACTCTAAAGGACTTGTATGGCTTTTGATTCATTTAAAAAATTAAAATGGATATCTACAACTGCTTTATTCTTTACAGTGATGTGAGTCTAGCTTTTCCTAAGTCCTGAATTTTGATTCATACCTGCTAATGAAAACCTTCATTACCATTTTTAGTTTAGTAATAGCAGCAATTGTTTGTACTATTGATTTTTATTGGTCCCAGCCCCCATTGTCTCATGAATAGTTTAGGATTTAACATTTAAATAAGAAAGTCATGTCATACTTTATGTGCTTTTAGAAAACAGATACAGTAAACATGACAGATGCAGCAATGTTTTTCTCTTTTTCTGGTCACAGGTCAGAAAAGGCTACTTTCAAAGCTCAGGAAAGATTCAGGAGGTGATCAGTTTAACCTAGCGTAAACTCTCAGACTTCCAGTATCTGTAACTTCGGTTATCCTATCCTCCTTTTCCTTTTTGTAGAGTGAAAAGTAAAATGGTTTTTAATTCTGTTAGAAATGACCTTTTTTCCCCGAAATGGACTGAAGGCCATTTTAATGAAAACCAACAAACAACTTAGTTTTGAAAGTTGTTGAGAAATGTGTAATCAAGAAGAGTTTTTAAAGAAACAAAATGCTGTGTAACTACTCTTTGTACTTCCAAACCAGCTTTGGTGTTTGAATAAAACAGCAGATATTCATGAACCGCCGATCTCTGTCATCCCATTTGCTGATGCAGGCTTATCTCTAGGTGCAAGGCAGGTGAAATGAGGAGCCTGCTTGGGCAGCGCTTTCACTCTCCTGGTTCCCACGCGGTGGCCTTCCTGCAGATCCGCCTCCTGCTTTGGAGTCGACTTTTAACATGGTTTCATGTGCCTGAGAAAGGGATGGTGCTGGTTCGCTGCGACTCTTCTTGTGCCCTCCTAGCTGCTGCATGCATGCGCTAGCCCAGATCTGGTCTGTGCAGGGGCGGAGTGCTACTTGTCCCAAGCCAGCGGTTACAGCGGTGGAGGAGCAAGGGGTCCCCTGGCCCTGCACCAGCAGTGTCTGGCTGCTTGGGCAAGGCAGTGCCAGCTTGGCCCCGAGCAACTCTGCCCACCTACTGCACCAGCTGGACCATCCCCACTACGCCCCCCCCTTCATGTATATTCATCACTGGACCCACGTGTATGTCCTCCTACATACTCATCACACGACCGACCTGTCTTTCCCCCACCCGCCTCATGCATATTCATCACTAGCCGACCTATCCACTTGCCCCCTGCTGCATATTCAACACCAGCAGCCCCCTACATCTTGACGCATACGCAACACCCCCCCCACACCACTCATAAGGCAGCCTTTGAAAATCAAACAGCTCTCAAGATGACTGTG